ACCAGCATGTTTACAAGCCAAATACGAAGAAGGCGTTATGAAAATCTGATCAATTATCCAATCAAATTTCTAATTTGATTTCAACAATGTAATGTTGAATCGACCAAGAATCAAATAATGAATTGAATAATGGTGTTTTGAGGGGGCGCGCTTCATGTCTTTTGACTGTAAACACCATCTACGCAATCAGGGATTCACGTTTTTTCGTAAGACCCCTTGTAAAAGTTGCAGAAATAATCCCGTCATGTGACCATCACATGTCATGAMAATAATCTATTTTCAGGCAACCAATCGCATCACACGGACATATAACACGACACCTGATTGGTTAAAAAGAAAAAAAAGAAGCCGACGCAGGCAAACAAAATGATTTTCGTGGTGAAAATCGTACTTCTTTTTCCTTGTTCCAAAACAACTAAAAATATATAGAATTTTTGGTATTTAGCTTTATAAAAAGGGGAAATCTTCACAAAAAGTAGACGAAAAAGATGCAAGAAATATATGAGCCCGAAAAGTGTCAATCAACATGTGATGCTTTGCTGAATTTTAAGAATGAACTTTACATTGTCGAGAGTCTGGAATAATTTCTSTACGAAAATAAGTGATGGACAAACAAGTAAGCGAATAGGAACAAAAGCCGTAAAAAATATTCAAAAGATAAAAGTTGTGAAAAATCACATACAAGAAAAGTCATCAAAGAAATATCGTTTTCTGCTTTAGTTTATACAAACAATCCATACCTTAAAATATACAGTTTCTCGGTTATCTTTTGTAGTTCACAGTCGGAAACCCTGACTTTGTATTATTCAAAGTCTATTTGACTGTACATACTGCATAATACTTTTCTTCGTACGCCAATCTCTGTATCTTTCTCATTTTTATTGAACTTTGACTTGCTTTCTCAACCAATACGTCTCTTGAAGTACTTTCGCTACATTGCTTTATCTTTTGTATCGAATTCAGAACAGTTATGTCCCGCAAAAGTATAAAATTCAATAAAATWAAAAATAAAACTTCACTTTGCTCGTGTCCATCGCCTGACATTTTGTTATCTATCTGTTCTCTGGAAGAACATTCAACAAAAACTTTTAGCCAATCAGGTGCCATGTTAAATGTACGCGTGTTGCGATTGGTTTGTCTAAAAATAGATCAGCGGGACATTTGACAGAGATGAATATGAGGACCGCATGGCACTAAGAGATACAATGGAAATAATAGGAGTTTATAATGCTTTGAAGGAGTAAGAATAACCTCCTTCTAACCATTAAACATAAATACATTATCTCCATTCCACACCGATGGACACTTCTGGCTTATCTACTTTTGATGCTGTTAATTTTTTTATGCATAGATAATAAAACAATTCGTAGATTAAGGTCGTACAGGATGAAGTATCCATTTTGAAAAATCAGTAGCTCAGTGCGAGCATTCAGATTTCAATTAAACTTTCTGTGGTTCTTTACTAATATCAGAGATTCCATGTGCTATATGAAGAACCTTGTTTTCAACATTGTCCTCATTATCATAGGGTTTCACA